GATTTCCCCTCACTATTGTTCCCCAACCCCCCATCCTGGGAATGGTCCCACTATACTCTCCTGGTTTCTGTAGTTACTGCAGGGTATGTATTCACATCTGAAGATTTGGAGCCAGGAGCCTCCAAGAGAGAACATGAAACAACTGTCTTTCTGGGCCCGAGTTTCCTCACTCAATATGATCTTTTCTAGTTCCATCCATTAACCTGCAAAGTTCATGGTTTCATTTTTCTTTACAGCTGACTAGTATTCCATAGTGCCTATGTATGACACTTTCATTATGTACTCATTGGTCACAGACATTTAGATCATTTCCATTTCCTATCTATTGTGAGTAGAGTGGCAATGAATGTGGCCGAGCAAGTATCTAGTAGTAGAATGTCTTTGAGTCCTTTGAGCATTTGTCAAGGAGTGGTATAGCATTTGGTAGACTTGTCTTTAGATTCTTGTGGTACAGCATTTGGTAGACTTGTCTTTAGATTCTTGTGGTACAGCATTTGGTAGACTTGTCTTTAGATTCTCCATACTGATTTTCAGAGTTGCAGCATCATTTTGCAATCCCACCAACAATGAATAAGAGGTCCCTTTCCCCCTCATCCTCCCCAGCAATTGTTGTCAGTTGTTTTGTCGACTTTTGCCATTCTGACTGGGGAAAGATGAAATCTCAAAGTTGTTTTGGGATGATGAATTTTTTTTTTTTGAGGAGAAAAGTAATCACCAGCGTTACCCCAGCTGTGTATCTTTGAGTTATAATAGCAACCAGCTTGATATAATAACATGACAATTGGCTCTATAGTGGCACAAATGTCATGGGAATAACCAACCACTTTCTGATTGAATTTAAGGCCAACCCCGTAAGATAAAACCTACACCCAGCACCATTATTAGAACTAAGAACCTGTGACTAGTCAGCAGGTTCCCACACTATTATTTGACTAAATGGACATAGTATTGAATGGACTTCTAATGACCTACCATCATAACAATAGATTAATGCAACCCTCCTCAGAGGAGCTTCTGTTTGCAGTAGGTGGCAAATAGTACAGAGACCAGCAATTGGTCATGGTGAAGAGAATGGGAGACTGCAGAATGCTCAACCCTACAGAAACATCTGTATCACACATCCTCCTTTCAAGGCTTAGGGAATATTGCAGGAGAGGGAGTGTGAAGATTGTAAGATCCAGAAGAGGTATGTGACTACAAGTAAATAGTATTTTCCAAACATAAGAGGGTAACTGAACATATAAGTTCACAGAAGTTGTGACGGCATGTATAAGACAAGCTCAAGCCAGATGAAATGCCAGCATAGAAGGGGAGATTATGAGCTCCCACATAACTGAGGAGCTATTGACAATCTGTAGATGCTGGGAGAGGGAGTGCCAATGCTCTTTAAGGATGTGGCCCATGGCAGGTTGACCATATTATGGCGTATGGCTACACACCCAGGAGTATATGGGTGACACAAATGGGACTTGAGTTTTTTTCTTAAGAGGACACAAAGTTGGGTGGGTAGGAAAAGAAGGTGGATCTTGAAGAAGTTGGGAAGGAGAAATAAATACGTTGTATGAGATTTTCAAAAAGCTAATAAAAATTTTAAAAATTTAAAAGATTAATTCAGAGCCTTATAACAAACACTATCTATAATAGTTATTTATAAAGCATTATCTTAAAGAGCAAATAAATCTATGAGAGCCATTAGCTCTACTTTTATTCAATATTGCATGGGTAGTTCCCATGCAGAACAATAGGACAGGAAATGAAATTAATTGTGTAAAAATACAGAAATTAATGATGAAATTCTCTTCAAGTACAGGTAACTTGATCATATTCCTAGAGACACTAAAAGAATGCATGGATAATTTGCTGAAATTAATAGATTCAACAAAGTTATTCAGTGTGCACAAAATCAATGTGCAAAAACTTAACTGCATGCCTATCACAGGTGTTGTATAGCTAGCTATTCCTTCTGAAGGATTCATTTCTGGAGAGAATAAAGAACCTTGCAGGACTCAGGGATCTTATGAGGTTTGTAAGGTTCAAGCAATATAGGAAGTTACATGCTTTGCCAGGCTCCTCCCCAAAGTTTGGAAAACAGTAAACTTCTGCCATGGGGAGACTTGGCAGTGGTGGGGTGGGAGGTAGGGTGTCTTTGGTGGAGCTGACTGCAAGCTATGCAGAGAGCTCCAGGGATGCAGTTTTCATGAGACACCATCCATACTGAAGGGGGCTTTACTGTGTTGTCACTCCTTTGAGTTACCCAGGTTTCTATAATTGGGTCTGTTGTTGGTGTTCTACATGGGGTGAAGATCAAGTGTGTTCACATGTGCCCCAAAATGTCATACAGTATGACTGAGGATGGCCCCCTTAGGCTCATATATTTGAGTAGTTGGCCTTCTAGTGGCTGTCTGGGGATGATTAGAAGGAGGTGTTACCTTGCTGGAGGAAAAGAACAGTGACATTTTGAGTTAGCTCTCTCTGCCTGTTGCTTGAAGATCAAGGTGTGAGTTCTCAGCTTTTTCTGCCCCACCAGCATGGACTCTAACCCTCTGAAACTGTAAGCCCAATTACAAATTTTCTAAGTTGCCTTGGTCAAGGTGTTTGTCACAGCAATTGAAAAATAATTAAGACCCAATCCAAGAGAAATAGAAAATGTAATGCTTAAGATGGAATTTAATTATTTTTATTTCTTTTTGTTATTTAATTATTTTTAATTGGATTAAAGTTGTAAGTATGTATTGGGTATGGTCCTAGTTCCTTTCTGCTGCTGTGATAAAACAGCCTTGTCAAAAGCAACTTAGGGGAGGCAAGGATTTATTTGGCTTACAGTTTTAGTTCATTTCTGGAAAGACATTGAGGAGAAATTAAGGAATTTAAGCAGCTAACCAGATCACAGTCACAGTAAGAGCAAAGAGAAATGAATGCACCCATGTTGCCTACTGCTTGGCATTCAGTCCTTCTACTCTTGTATAGTCTAATGCCCCAAACCACAGAACAGTATTGCCCACTATGGGTTGTTCAATTAGCAACTGAGACAATCCCTTATAGATATACCCACACAAACCAACCTTGTAGTTGGACTTTCTTTTTGGTCACCAGCCCCAAATAATGACAAGGAGACTCATTAGTAATTATGAAAGCTTGGCCTTAGCTTAGGCTTTTTCCTAACTAGGTCTTTTAACTTAAATTAACCTGTTTTATTAGTCTACATTCTGTCATGTGGCTTGGTTACCTCCTTTGTTCTGTGTGTCTGACTTGGTCTGAGTCTCACTGGTGTCTCCCCACCTCTCTTTTTTCCCAGAGTTGTCTCTCTCCCTGGAAATTCTGTCCATTCTTTCATGCCTAGCTATTGACTACTCATCTCTTTATTAAACCAATCACAGTAACACATCTGCACACAATGTAAACAAATACTCCACAACACAACCTGATTTACATATATTCTTCATTAAGATTCTCTTCCCAGGTAATTCTGGATTGTGTTGACAGTTAAAGCTAACTATGAGGTGATTTGATAAAAATCAGGCTAATTGAATACCAGTGTGTGTGTGTGTGTGTGTGTGTGTGTGTGTGTGTGTGTGTGTGTGTGTGTCTGTGTGATTCTTTTTTGGTTAGAGCATTTACAAACTTTTAACAATTTTGGAACATAAATGCTAATTATTGTTAGCCATACCTACCCTACTGTTCAGTAGAACCCCAGAATTTATTCCTTCTATATACTTACAACTTTATACCCATGGATCAACCTCTGCCCATTCTTCCCTCTCTAGGATCTGGTAACCACTATTCTACTATCAACTGCCAGGGAGTCAGTTTTTTCTAATTTAACATATGCACAACATAAGAGCACATTAGCCAGTGTGCTTTAGAGTCACAGACTTATGGAATGAATCTCTCTCTGCAGGGGAAAAACAATCACTTCCTCCTTCTAGCAGAAGGTGTGGCTTCCCATCTCAAGATTTGGATTAAAGGCATGTGGACTTCGTGTTTCAAGACCCAGATCACAAGTGTGCCCTCCATTTCTGGATTGCAGTTCATTCCAGATATAGTCAAGTTGAAAACCTAGAATAGCCATCACTGATAGTAATTAGATGGTATCCAAGATATACAGTACATAGGAATAAATCTCATGAAAAAGTGCATGAGTTAAAATCTAAATAAATGGGAAAATATAGAAACTTAATTTATAGAACACATGTGAAGTTAATGTGTTTTACTCTCATGGATCCTAGAATTATATCATAGTTTAGACTACTCTGTTCTAATATTTTTCACTAAAATATTTCATTAAATAGATAAACCACAAGATGTGATATTTTAGCACTACAATCTCAGACAAAACAAATATTAATTTACTTTATTCGATGTCACTGGAACATCGGTATAAATATCATGCTTGGGTGAAATGCTATGAAGACAATACTTCAGCAGTTACAGGTGGAAACACAATAAACTTTTTAGCATATCAATGAACTGACCTTTCAGGGAAAGAATTCACAGAAAAAAGACTCCTTTAAAGAGCTTGAATCATTGGCTTTCGTTGAGAGCTTTTGAATATTCATGTGAAGGAGCATCAGACATCTCATACTCCAAAGGTCTACGCCTGGCTTTTGTACTTTATTATGCACAAATGGTTATTTTACCAAAACGTCTCAAGTACTTTTGGTTTAGTAAGACACACACTGGGAGATGATGGTAGACGATTGAGTAAGGGTGGAAGAATCCCTCCACACTTATACCAAGTCAGGGCATCAACATAAATTTCAATTTTATAGCAGGCCAGGGTTTTCAGGAGTAGAGGAGCCACTGAGAATAAAGGGAATTCCTGAAGTTTTGGGGGTTGTACATAACTGACTCAGTAGGCTTCAGGGGTTTGGGGAAATGCTGAGTAGATTGGGGTGAAGGGTCCCGCTGCATCAAAGAAGAGGTTGTGATATGGAAGAGGTGGAAAGGGCGATGGTGCATGATTGCTCCATCAGAGAGACCTTCCATCTTTGCTTAATCACCTGATTAGAGCACTTATCATGGTCCGACACAGTGTCAGTGCTCAGCTGATGCTTATGGTTGGGTTGAGCATAGTGTGGTGATATATGAAAATGCTTGGTGGGGCCATAGGAAATGTGAACTGAGTCAGCCAAAACCTCCATGATTCAAAGTTAATAGCTAACCAGTTCCCCTCCCCCAGAGGTGGAAGGTCTCAACAAATTAAGAAAATTGAAATACCTGTTTGTACTCTATGTGACCGCCATGATCTAAAGCTGGAAATCTACAGCAAAAGAAACGGTAGAGCCTAGGTGTGGTGGCACACGCTTTTAATCCCAGCATTCAGGAGGTGGAGACAACCAGCATCTTTGTGCATTCTAGGTCAGCTTGGTCTACAGAGTTCCATGACAGCCAGCGCTACAAAGTGAGGTCATATCTTAAGACAACACACATATTCATAGAGATTAAACAACATACTGTTAGATGCTGAATGGGTCACTGAAGAAATTAAGGATGAAATAAAGAACCTATGAGACAGTGAAGGCAGTCCCTCAAAGGGAAGTTTTTAGCCTAGGCGCCTCCATTACAAAAACAGAAAGGGGGCTGAAGAGACAGCTCAGTAGTTAAGAGCATGTACTGTTGTTGCAGAATACTCCAATGTAGTAATGAAGTTACCATCCCCCACATGGACAGTCTCACAACTGCCCAAAACTCCAGCTCCATGAAAATCTGTCAGCTCTACACCCCATATACACTGCATTCACATGTACATACCTACATACTGGCACATCACATAATTAAAAATAACAAAAATAAATATTTTCCAGACTGATAGCTGGGAAACCAGCATGAGACTGCTCTAGACCTCACGACATGGGTGTCAGTGAGGAGACCTCGGAAATCTATGGGGTCCCTTATAGTGGATCAGTAATTATCCCTAGCATAGGAATGAACTTTGGGAGCCCATCCCACATAGAGGGATACTCCCTGAGCCTAGACACATGGGATGGGCCTAGGCCCTATCCCAAAGGAAATGACAGACTCAGAAGACCCCCTATGGAAGGCCTCAGCCTCCCTGGGGAGCAGAAAGGGTATGGGATAGGTAGGGTGTTAGTTGGGGGGACAGGGGAGGAGGGGCGGGAGAGGGAATTGGAATTGACATGTAAAACAATCTTGTTTCTAATTCAAATAAAAAATTAAAAAAATAAAAGATTTGTTGATTTTTTGCAAAAAAGTAAAAATTAGAGAGAAATAAAATAAAGCTTAATGATGCATTTTAAGGTTTTTGGAAAAAGAGGAACAAACAAAAGCCAAAAGCAGTAGATGAGAAGAAATTATTAAGGACAAGAAAGAAATTAACAAAATGGAAATGAAAACACACACATACATGCATGCACACACAGACACTAGAGTCAATAAAATAAAGGAGTTGTTCTTCAAAATCATAGAGAAGATTGACAAAACCCTTAGAAGATTGAGAGGGAAAACCCAAATTAATAAAATTAGAGAAAAAAGGAGATTATGGTAGGTACCAACAAAATTCAGAAAATCATAAGGACACACTTGAAAAACCAGTTCTTCTAAGTTGGAAAGTGTGAAGAAATGGATGAATTTCTAGGTGTGTCATGGGTGAGTTCAACCATGATGAAATCAGTAATTTAAACATCTGTAACAAGCAATGATACAGGAAGGAGCAATAAAAAATTCACAAGTTAAAAAATGATTCTCAAATTATTCCATAAGAAGGAAAAGGAATGTCCCCAAACTCTTTTGATGAAGCCAGTATTGCTTGATACCCAAACCAGACAAATGCACAACCAAAAAAGAAGTCTATAGATCAATCTCCTTGATGAACATGGATGCAGGTCTTCTCATCAATATACTTGTAAGCTGAATACAGGAACACACCAGCAAGATCGTTATCCGGGGACATTTTATTAATTAGTGATTGACGTGAAAGGACCCAGATGGCTGTGGGCAGTACATCCCCAGAAGAGGTGGTCCTGGGCCATATGACACAGCAAGCCGAATGAACCATGGACAGAAAGCCAATAAGCAGCTGTCTTCCATGACTCTTCTTTCAGTTCCTGCCTTGAGTTCTATCATGACTTCTCTCTTGCTTCCCAAGACGCCTTTGCTTGTGATCTTTATCACAGCAAAGAAAACAGACTAGAACAAGAGTCCTCAGGGAGAAAAGGCAGGTGTTGGCAAAAGCAAGACTGCAAGTGAATGAGAGAAAAAAGTTGATTTTTTAAATTACTCCTACAGGGAGACATTTTACAGATTATAGCATTGTTTTTGAGTTCTCAGGGCAGAAGAGCAGAGGGGACAAAGGTAGGAATGAGTCAGACTGGAATGTGAAGTGGTGGAGTCAAAGGAAGGGCGGCTTCTGGATGAACGAAACATGGTCTGAAGTCACAGGGGAAATGTACAGGAATCAAATAGGAGCCTGGCTATCAGCAGACAACTGGACAGGGACGGTCTTACAGGATTTGGAGGGTATGGGTAGACAGATGGAGACACAGACATTTCAAAGCAGGTTTTGTTAGAAGTGCACATACAGATCATTGTTATTGAAAACCCTGCCCACACACAGCTAGATAAAGCTTTGCAGACAGAATTCTGTACTTTATTCTTTTTTCAGTCTCATGTGTTTCTTTTCTTCCCACGTCACCATCTCTAATTAGCTTCCTTTTATTTCCCCTTTAGTTCCCTTCTTCAACTTCTGTTCACTGCTAAGGTCTTAGGGCATTAAGTTTTGGTGTGGAAGTTGTCCGTACTATTTTAGGGTGTTTAGCATCTGTTCTGGCTTGTGCCTTGTAGATGCCAGTAGCAACTCTTTCCAACACTGTCAGATTGTCATTGGTTGAGAGCCACTGATCTAGACCATAGATAAAGGGATAGAGGTTGGGGAAAGCAAGGGAAAGGACAGGACAGACCCACCAATTGTGAGTGAATTATGAAAAAGACAGAAGACAAGAAGGAATTTTCAAATACTGTAAAGTTAAATTATGCAATGAATATCCAGACTAATGATGACATTGCCAGGTGGAACCAAGTATGGTGGTGTATCCAAGTAATTCCAGTACTTGAGAGATTGGACAAAGAGAATCAAGACTTGTAGACCCTGCCTCAAAAGAAAAACAGTTTAAAACATTTGTAAATAAATATGAGCATATGTCAGAATATTCTAATCCTATCTGTGCATACACATTTGCACCTGCACACATAAGTAACAACATGCACACACACACACACACACACAGAGAGAGAGAGAGATAGAGAGAGAGAGAGAACTGCTCCCCAAACATGACTTGATTATCTTCTTCAATTGCTTTTCCTTGAAAACCATGCCTGTCTCTCCTTAATTTATGAAATTAAGTTTCTTTGCATTGCAGTCTGCCTCCAAGACTGAAAGTATATTTGTTACTAAGGCATAGGCGGTACAGAGGTCTTTGTACTCACAGACATGCACCAGGGGAACCTGGAATGTTAAGCACTCAGGGGTGTTCTTTCAAGGAAAGGAACACTAAACTTGCTTTCTGCCCAGAAGGCTGGAATGAACTTGCTCTCTAGCCCAGTGCCCTTTGTATGATATGTGTGGCTGGGGACTTCCAGGCACTAGAACCTCCTCCACACCCTGCTAGTAAAGACCTTTTTCTCAGTCAATCTATAGAACCTATCTTTAGGGAAGATGTCACATGTATTTTGCAAAGAGTTTTGTTGTGGCCATGTCTGATGTACATTTAGCTTAGTTGTTCCTCAGAGACCTGGGTATGCTTTCTTGTGTAGGCAGGGTTCAGTTAGCCACCACAAGAATAGTTTTCAACAGATTGTGCTGTGTTTAAATATGCCTAAAATAAACAACTTGGGGTCAGACTCTGGACATTTGAACCAACATTGATTACCGATACATGTGCTTAACTGCCTTCTTGCCTCCCCCAGCTAGTCTCTCTGCTGCCCATTCAGGTCGCAGAGACATTCCCACCCCTTTACTAAGGGAAGTCAAAGAAGCTCCATCTGTGTTGAAAGTCAACTAGAGATATGAGATATGGACACAGGAGAAATTTCATCTTGAGTCTAGTGCTAAGGTCATGAATGCTCATTCCTGGAGTCTGGCAGAGATGGTGAGGCCCAGGAAACTTCTCTATGAATCTTCCTCCTAGACAGACTCTGCCTGAGCCAGGTTGCCTCTCCCAAGGGCCCTCCGCATGGCCCCCTTCATTTCCTTGTTTCGGAAGCTGTAGATGACGGGGTTGCACATGGGGGTGATGATGGTGTAGAGGAGGGAGAAAGGCTTGTCTTTGTCAGGCCCGTGTGTACTGCGGGGATTCATGTAGGAGAACATGGCTGAGGTGTAGAAAAAGATGACCACAGTCAGGTGGGAGGCACAAGTGGAGAATGTCTTCCCCCTACCTGAGGAGGAGGCTCTGCTAAGGATGGAGGCCAGGATGCGGGCATAGGAGGTGACAATGAGCACCATGGGGCTGAGCAGCACCACAATGGCATCAACAAAGATCAGCTTCATGCTGAACTGGGGGTCCCCACAGGAGAGGGCAATCACTATGGGGGCCTCACAGAAGAAGTTTTCTATGTGGTTGTCTTTGCAGAAGGGATTCCGGAATGACATATACTCAAGAAAGACGCCATTGACCTTCCCAAACAGCCAGGAAGTCAGCACCAGCCTGACACACACCTGATGGCTCATGATCTGGGCATAGTTCAGTGGGTGGCAGATTGCAACATACCGGTCATAGGCCATGAAAGCCAAGAGGATGCACTCAGCCACACCCACAAAGAAGACCAAGTACATCTGGGTCATACAAGAGACAAAAGAGACAGTGTGATTCTTGGTCACCAGATGGATCAACATCTGAGGGATGGTGGTGGTGATGAAACAGATGTCCAGGAAAGACAGGTGTCCAAGGAAGAAGTACATGGGGCTGTTGAGTCTGGGGTCAGTCCAGGTTATGAAGATGATGAGGCCATTCATGGCCATGGCGAGGCTGTAGAGAGCCAAGAAGAGGGTGAAGAGCAATGCCCGGGTGGAAGGGGAGCTCTGCTCAAAGCCCACAAGGATGAACTCTGTCACTGTGCTGCTGTTCCTCAGGTCTGCTGTCCGGGGCCTGTTTGAGGAGGCAGGCAGGAAAAGCATAAAGGACAC